CTCTACTTTCAGAAGATCTACCAAATTTAGAGAAGAATTAAAAAGATTAATGGCTATTCACAGCCCCTCTATGGAGAGGAACAATGACGACAATTTTTCCTAGCTCCTCCTACAAATGGTTTGCAAAGGGCCAATACTCAGGGGCTGATAGCCAGGGTTGAACTATACACCCAGAAAAAAGGGTTTTGTTAAAGTGCTTCGGAAAGATTTTACAAAAGCATAAAGTTTCTGATTCTAATTTTAGTTAAAATTCTGATATAAAGCAAATTTAGTTCAAAAAACAGGCCAATCCCTTGACATTCAGGACATAATCTAATTCTGTGGGAATTAGTAACAACTGTCTTTGTCTTACAGATCTCTGAAAAAGTAGAAATGTAACTCTAGAAACAAAGCCCACCAATGCCTCTTAGAATGTCTATAGCTTTATAAGATTACAATATTGAACAAAACTGTCCTGCACTTAAGAAAAAATGCCAAATCTTAAATAGCAATCTCAAACTCTGAAGGAAAAAACTTGTTTTGCATTCTTTCACTGTCCCTTGAAATTCTTAGGTCTTTAAAATGTAAACACAATCCACAACTGCCTGTGACTGAAAATTAAAAACGCAAACTTTTAAAAGGGCTCTTGTGGCAGACTCTAGCACCTTTGATAACAAACTGGTACATTCTGTCTCCACCTTAGAGAAAACTTGGATGATCTCTTCAAACCTCTGGGATGTAAATTTCCTACCCCTATCATCTCTAGGATAAGAGAGCCATTGTTTGAAATACTAAGGTCAGGGAGAAGTTTTCCATTGGGGTGGGGTCTTTGGAAATCAGGCCTTTAATTAATGTCCTCTAGACAGGTGTGAGTAAAAACAAAAGTTATAAAGAAAAGGTGCAAACAAAAGTCTTATATTTGTCTATATATGCTATAAATGTGAGATTTTTTCTACCTCTGGATGGTAATACCAAAATTTGTAAAAGAGCTCTATTTTAGTTGGTTTGAAGACAAGTGTTTGTTAAGGACTGGGTATTCTAAAACTCAGAAAGCTAGAAACTAATCCAAATATTTTTCAAGTTCATGTGATTATTCAGTATTATTGGTTAAAGAAATATCTATTATGCATGTGTTTAGAAAGAGTTAAATATGTTCATGTTACCTTTTTTGCAAAACTTAACAGAAAATAAGTTTAGGACATTGGTTGACTTTATTTTCTGATGAAGTTTTGTGGGTAGTCTGAACACAATTGTTAAGAACAAGTAAATAAACATAAAAAAGGTTTGTATGTAAACTTAAATTTCTTCCAAAATCTTTGATAACCTGAAACTTTAATGTTTTGCTAAGTTAAAATAACGAATTAAGATAAACTCATTCAATTATCTACTTCTTTCTTATTATAGAAAGACTAAAGATAAATTTGGATGTTGGAAAATGTTTTGTGCTTTGCTATGAAGGACATGTTTCTAGACATTACAAACAGTTCACAACTGCTTATAACAGTTTTCACTAGAAATTAGTTTCTAAGAGTTAAGGGGAAAACTATATGTAGGGAAAAGTCAGAGTATGAGGAATAAGAACTGTGTCCTTAAACTGCAGTATGCAACCGATGTTGGCCTTCTCTGACTTGAAGTCTCAAGTGAGCAAGGAGAAATCAAACAAGCAGAAGCAGAAAACCAGTTAAAACAGAGGCATGCAAGCAATATTTTCTAACAATCAGATATGAGAGAAACTTCAGTTTTAAGGACTGTAACAGATTATACTTTGCAGATACAAAAGGGAGAGGGTATATGTGCTCGTAAGCAGTTCTGAGCAGTTCTTTTCAGAGCAATATGAAAGACTGTCTCCCAGGCTATAGTCCTTGGTGAAACAAAAAAAGCATTTACTAACCTACTTTGAGGTTGGTTTTCTTTCAGCTGACAAAACATAGCTTTGCTGAACGAAAAGATAATTTTGTCCTAAAGCGAGGGCGGTTATTTAAAGAGGGAAAACTTAGGACAAAATCTGAATGTAAAAAATAAAGCTGGATAAGGTTTACGGAACAATAAGTTTAGAAAAGAATTTTACGTGTGATCAGTACTGGCTAAGATTAGGATGAATTTAAGCAAGCAAATAATTTTCTTGAACTATTGGTCTGCTTTTAGTAAGAAACTGTAAACAAAGCTTTTCTTTACCTTTAAAGTCATCTGCCAAGAAAACAAGGATTCTGTGTTTGGTTATCTTTGAAGACTTAAGAAAACTGAGTCAGTATTAAAAGAGCTAAATTTTGCTCACAACAATGTAACCACTTCTCTTTGCCTTTGAAATCTTTTATTGTCACTTGGGCTAAATAATTAGATGCTATTTCATAATAATTAAATGTTCAAACCTTTTAAATACTTTTTATATGTTTCTGGATCATTATAAAAAACTTTTAAAAAATTTTGTGAAAAGGTGGTATAGTAAATTGCAGCGGAAGCATTACAAAGTGACACTAAACCCTCTTAGATTGTTTGTACAGACATGTTAGTAAAATTAGTGAAACTCCTAAAAATCTGGTATCTTCATGTGTTATCTTGAAGTGTTGTATATTACAAACAAAACAATTTCCTTATCAACTGCATTGTAATGAAGTCTAATCAGATCTATAACCATGGTCATCTTTAAGTTACTCTTTTACTCTGATGGTAATGCAAATGTCCTCCGTGAGACTCACATAAAGAACTCTGAGCACAAGTTTCCAATAATCTTAAAATCATAAATCTGAACCAGGTAAGAATTTCTGAACTAGTAAAAAAAAACAAAAAACAAAAACCAGATTCAAGCAGAATAAGAATAAATCGGACAGAACGAACTAAGAATTATTTTTATGACTTTGAAACACTGCTGACTTTTTAAAATGTTTTGTTTTTTTAGACTGAAGGAAACTTTTCTTAAGCTAACTGATTTACAGCAATTTGGAACATTCATCTCCAACATCCAGAAACCCATCGAGTATTCTAAGAGTCCATTCTCCTTTTAACAGGACACAATGGGTAAACTGTGGTTATATGATCCAGGCTTTGACTGCAATGTCCTATTTTAGACACAGATTTACACAGACTCAGATATGACCAGACAGCTTTAAGGATTTTATGGAGCCTGTAAAGCCCCCTTGGAAATATCAGCCTGATAACTATTGCTTACGGAGTTCTCAGCAACTTTACCAGGTAAGAAAAGAAGAATTCACCCAAATCTATAGGTACTGCAGGTGAAGTCTGATGGCAACTGACAATTTAATCTGGAGATTTCTTATGAATAGTTCCAGCAAAGCAGGTTTAAAGAGCCTATATGGTCAACTGCTATTCTTGCTGCACTTATGTAAATTAATCAGGCCATGTTCTTTTAAGACCAAACTTATTTTGCAAACTAATTAGTGTCAATTTGGCTATCTTTGGTAGAAATGGTGATTACAAAAAGAAAAACACACCTGTGTATTAGATTTTAATACTGCTCATCAAAAACTGGACTAGATCCAGATTACCTCTAGTTTCCTCCAATGACTAGCTACAACTCTCTAAACTCTTATTTTCAGTTTTTCTCCTACCTTTCTGATTTGGAATCATTTGAGAACTAAAACTGCCCTCTTCCCTGAAGCCCTGCAAAGCAAATAAAAACAACTTGAGGTAACCTTCAAAAAAATCACTCTAACTCCCATCTAGACCCTCTGCATCCCTGTTGTTCTAGGGGCCACTCAAAAGATCAGAGATATGTGGACTCTAAACCAGGAAAATCTGTCAGACTGTCACTTTTTGCTCCCACTCCAGCTGAGGATATGTCCAGCTGGACATCTAGAAGTCAGGACTGGCCACCCTCAGAACTCAGAAACTTTGATCCAATCCTTAACCATTATTTGCTTTTGTTCTGATAGAAACCGAACACCTGATTATTTAATTAAATCACAGCCTCACTTTAAGAATATACCTGTATCATGGCCTCCTGAAGTGAGATTATAACTGAGCTGATCTATTGACAGTACTAAAAGACTGATTCAACAAGATGGAACAATCTACCAGGGCTCAACTTTATGTGTGTGAAACTTCAGGGATGTCTCAGAGGAAACTTCAAGTGCCAAGGGCAGGCACTAAGATGGGCCACTTTGTCTATGCCCATCACTTTCAGTTAAAAGCAGTCAAAACCCAGCAGATTTAGGAAAAACTCCTCACCTCCCCACCAAATGCCTATGTTTACAATTATAGAAAGGACAGCCTATACCCTGAGACAGCTACTGAGATTCCTCTTTACCTAAGATGCTTATTTGTGTAACAGCAACCTTTATTTTCCAAACATCTCCTCTCACCTTCCTGCTAATGGCTGTCCTTCCCTTTATATCCTCAGAACCCCCCCCATTCTTAGCTCAGGATGTCATATAAGCCTCACATTGCCTGAATGTCTTTGGAATTTCATGTCTGTTTTCTCCTGTTAATTTGTCTCATGTCAATCTTAGTCCAGCTAGAAGGGCAAAGGACATTCTTCCTCCCCAATAATACCAGAGAAAAGAACAACATAATGGTAACTGAGAGCAGCACTAAGTCTTAAATTTTGATCACATTTTTCAGTTAAGCTGAGATTGAGCAAAGGGGGAACTGTTAAACTACAGGCCCCAAATGGCATCACTTAGGCTTCGTCTACAAACCAGGGCTTAACACCTACATTAACTGCACTTTCAAACTTTCCCAGAAATGCAGTTTTAACTGAATAATGGGGGATTTTCCGATGAGTGATAATGGGCCCTCTACACAGAAGGTAATCTGTGTAAGACCCCTTGTTTTTATCCTCATGGGAAAGTGAGCTTGCTTGGAACAATCCTTTTCTTTTGCTTGTAATTTTCTTGCCCCACCTTTCTTCCTATAAAAACCTTCCATTTTGTACAATGCATCGAGCTTCCATTCCCTCTACTTGCTAGATAAGAGGCAGCCCAAATAATTTTAAAAAAGTGAATTAGATCTTCAGATTTACTCCACTGATTTTTGTTTTTTAACAAGAGAGCAAATTGCCTTACCTGCAAGGTAGCGAATTGTTTCAAGCTTGTTAGACTCCATCAGTGTTTTCAAAGAAGCAATTTCAGTGTCAATCTTATTACTGGTCTCGGAAATAATACTTCTGGTTTTGGTATCCTGCAGAAAATAAGAAAGAGACAAATTTTGTCCCTGTGAATTATGGACACAAACATTTACATTAGAAACCCTTACTTATGGGCTAACTTTGTATTGCAAAAGTCTTAACGGGGGAAACAGTAAAAACACAGTGATAGAAAAAACATATGAACTTAGTTACAAACTGACAAAAAGAATATACTACTTTTGATATCTGGAGATCATTATTATTGATTTCTTTGGATTAACCTATTTTGGGTACATACTACTAGAAGCCTCACAGTAAAAGATTTGAGACCTAAAATATATGATAATAAACTAAGAAGGAAAAGAAAAATTTTAGTCACAAAACTATAAACACTTTATAAAATCCTTAGGATATCACAATGAAAACTTATACACAATCTAAAGAAATCTCATCCATATTCATAATGTGAATTGGCACCAATATTAAAGGGAATGGCAGAAATGCTTTTGTGGAGTAATACCAAGTGCTATGTGTACAGGGGCTAAGGGGTAAGTAGAGAGATAAGATGGCATATGGAGCTTAGAAATGAGCTCTCAGAGAATTTGATTTCCTTGTTTATTTCTTTTATCTGGCCAAGAATAGACCAGAATAGAATACTTGGAAAGACAAATGAGGCCTTCCCTTCTATTTAATTATAATTAAGAAAGAGTGATGCTCATTGAGGCACATGTGTGGCACAATCAGTTAAACTGCCACTCTTGGTTTTGGCTCAGGTTGTGATCTCAGGGTCATGAAACTGAGCGCTGCCTGTGGCTCTAAGCTCAGCACAGAGTCTGCTTAAGACGTTCTCCTGCCCCTCTCTGGCTCGTGCACTTTCTAAAATCTTAAAAACAACAAAAAAAAGAGTGATGTCTCTTCTGGTGGAATGCAGACCAAACGGTTCTTAACTTGTAGGCTGACTCAAAAAGCTGGGTTTTACTTAAGCCATAGAGATTAAACAAGGATCGCAATTTAGGATTAGGAGAGGGTAAACAGTTGTAGAATATGGAGTTTAGAATCCAGGGTCACATTCTGGCTCCAACACTTAGTAGCTAGGTGACTTTAATCTCCCTGTGCCTCATTTTCCAAACTAGCAAAATGGGAATAAAGAGGGCCTTTAGAGGCTAAGGAGAATAGAAGTAAAGCAAGTAAAACAGTATCTGATACATAATAAGCATTCAATAGATAGTTACTGTTAGCCTCTGCCTTCATTTAAAATGCTAATTGTGAATCCTTGTCTTTCAAAAAATAGTTCTTTTGTTTATAGAAATAATTTAGTTATAAAATATGTTACCAGGAAAGCTAGATTCTGACAGAGATCCCAGTTCAGGTACAACACATATAAGCAGTTATACATGAGAATGGTATAAAAGACATTTTTACATACTAGTTTACCTTGCTGGTAAATTCTGTGGTTGCTTCCATCAGTTTCTTTTCTTGATCTGTAAACTAAAGGATATGATGAATCAGGAGGTTAAAAAAAAAAGGCTAAAAGAATTAAGTTACCAAGAAGGCACATTTAGAAGCACATTACCATATCAGTTACTCTGCTCCTTTCTAGGTTGATGTCCAGTTTATTGTCTGCTCTGATTTGACTGGTTTCATTCTTTAAAGAAAATAAAAATATTAAGAAATCTCATAATGTTTGCTCTGAAATTAGTAAAATATTCTGAAGTGCTTAAGTACTTCAGTAGTTAAACTTACGATCAGTTGTTGCTTAACTTGTTCCAATTCAGTTTTCATTTTCTAGGTATAAAGAAAATCACATGCAATTGCCATTACACCAAACATCTACAGCATAATTTATTCAACAAATCTGAAACCCTGCAATAGCAAAAACTGGACGATATCTATACATTTCTAATCAAGGATTAAGTATAACTACACAAAAAAGGAAAATATTTCATCATATTCAAAAAATTCTTATGAACAGTTAAAAAAAAAAGGTATTCTTACTTTACTTTTAAACCATGACTGATATTCAAAATTTAAAAATATTTAAGCTAGTAAACAAAATTCCAACTGAAGTATAAAGTTTTCTTTTAACTGACAAAAATTAGCACAGAATCATGTAAAATGGAAAATGTCCCATTAAATTCCGAGAACATTATAATGAGCTGTATGAGAAATTTTACATAATAAAGAGTTCAAAGATTTTCCCTTCCATATGACTTGTATATGTGTAAGGTATAACCCTTAATCTTTGTTCAAGAAACTGATTTATACATAGAAACTTAGTTACAGTTAAACATGTAGTATACTTTGATCTATGACCACATAAAATCATAATTTGGTCCTACTCCTCACCAAGTGGAATACATGTGAAATCAGTTATTTTATTAGTAATAACCCAAAACCTGTATCACCTGATTCTCTGCTCTCAGATTTGCAAATTCACTTTTTTCTAGGATGACCATGTCTTTCCTGATGGAGTCCAAATGAGACATTAGTTGTTGTACTGTTATTTCCTGGAAAGCAAAATTAAAGTAACAATGATCATGAATGTCATCACCTTACACAGAATTATATTCATGAAATGTAGAAGAATCCATTGTTATGCTACAAGGTATAATGTTGCTTGGCTAACTAAACAAAACCAAACCATATGAAAACTGTATCAAAATGAAAAGTTCTAGTCCAAGTTTGTCACATAGGAAGACCCTGAACTCAGCTCCTCCAACAAATTACACCAATTTCCTCCTGAAGAACAATAAAGGGCTAACCAAACAGCTTCTGCACAGCAAAAGATAGATCATATACAAAAAGGCAAGAGAAAGAAACATAGTCATGAAGGGAACCCCCAAACCCACTGAGAACCACAGTGGAGGGGGATAATACTGAAGGACTATGAGCAGATCTGTCTGCCCTGGGATACAGAAAAAACAATGAGGTTTCAAAGGGTAACTAGAATATAAAAGATCCTGCCCCAGAACTCTGCCAAGCAGTGTAGGGGCCTGTGAGGGGCTGGTGAGCATCACTGTCTTCCCTGTCCACCCTGAGAGCACACATACAAGCAGGTCTGGACACCATAGTCAGCTTACCACTTCAGCAGCACCAGGCCCCTGACCCAAACCAACACAGTGTCCATGAAGGTGGCCTCAGCAGAGACCACAGCAGAACACCCATGGTCAGTGTTCCCAACAGCTGACTCACCAAGGTGACATAAGCGCAAAGCACCCCAGAATAATCCAGATCCCCACCACTTCACCTCCAGATAACTTGCCAGGACACCCCCGGTTCAGAGCATCCCAGGCCCTTCCAAATTAGCTCACACCCAACCAGGTGCTACCTGCATGAAGGGTCTTGGGAAGCCCTGGCCCATGCTCAGTAAAACTCAAGTTGTCCTGCCCAGGGCACTAGCTCCATGGAGAGCCCCAAGCTGCCCAGAATGAAACCTCTTTAGCTTCAGCTATCTTACCAGGCAAAAACCCTGGGAATGCCTCCAGACAATACCTACTATAGCACCAGCTGTCTGGCCAGGGTGCACTCTATGTGGAGAGGCATGAGACTGTCCTGGCCTGTACGTGCTTTGGTTCTGTACATCCCACCAAAGTGGCCCTAACACGAAGTGCCCCAGGACCCAAGCCCATGACATCCACACATTCAGAAAGCCAGCTAAAGTCACCAGGCACACATTCTCCACAGGCAATGACTACACAGTATCACTCTACTTTGGAAAAGTAGCTGTTGCATGTAATTCACAGAAAAAAAAGTAAAGCAAGAGGAGGAGACAAAAGAGTCTACTTCAAACAAAACCAAAACCTTGGAAACAGGACTAAATAAATGGAAATAAGAAATATGCCTGATAAATAGTTCAAAATTATGGACATAAAGATGCTCACTGGATTGGACAATGGGGTTGATAAACTTACTGAGAACTTGAACAAAGAGAAAATTTAAAAAGAACCCATCAGAGTTGAACACAATATCTGAAATGAAAGATGAACTAAAGGGAATCAACAGATAGGATAGAAAAGAACAGATTAGTAATATGGAAAAGAGGGCAATGGGAAGAACCCAAGCTGAACAGTAAAAAAAAAAAAAAAAAAGATAGGTTAAGGAATCTCCTGGACAACATCAAGTGAAAAAACATTTGCATTATAGGGGTCTGAGAAGAAGAAAAGGAAGGATGCGGGCAGATAAGTTATTTGAAGAAATGACAGATGAAAACCTCCCTTACCCGGGGAAGGAGACAGACCTCTAAGTTCAAGAAGTATAGAGAAGCACTAAAGATGAGCCCAACGAAGTCCACATCACAAATAGTAATTAAAATGTCAAAGATAAAGGGGAGAGGTTTAAAAACCAGAAAGAGAGAAGCAGTGAGTTATATGCAAAGGAAATCTCAGACTATCAGCTGATTTCCCTGCAGAAACTATACAGGCCAGACGGGGACAATATGATATATTCAAAGTGCTTAAAGTTGTAAAAATCTACAACCTGAATACTCCACCATCATTCAAAACTGATGAATTTTCCAGAAAAACAAAATTTTAAAAAGTTTATCACCTTTAGAGGCCTTATTAAAAAAAATACAAATGGCGATTCACAGACCTGTACCCCTGGGGCTAATATATGTTTATAAAAAAATAAAAAATTAAAAAAAATACAAATGATTTCTTTGAGGGGAAAAGAAGAGGCCATAATTAGAAGAAAATTATGAAATGAAAACTTTCATGGGTTAAAGTAAAGTAAAGGTAGTACAACACTTAAAAAGTATACTTGAAGATTAAAAGATAGAAGTAGTAAAGTTCATTATATTTAAAAATCAGTTAAGCGTGGGGCGCCTGGGTGGCTCAGTGGGTTAAATAAAGCCTCTGCCTTTTGGCTCAGGTCATGATCCCAGGGTCCTGGGATCCAGCCCAGCATTGGGCTCTCTGCCCAGCAGGAAGCCTGCTTCCTCCTCTCTCTCTGCCTGCTTCTTTGCCTACTTGTGATCTGTGTCTGTCAAATAAATAAATAAAATCTTAAAAAAAAACCAGTTAAGGGGCACCTGGGTGGCATAGTGGGGTTAAGCCTCTGCCTTCGCCTCGGGTCATGATCCCAGGGTCCTGGGATTAAGCCCCGCATCGGGCTCTCTGCTCAGTGGTGAGCCTGCTTCCTCCTCTCTGTCTGTCTCTCTGCCTACTTGTGATCTCGATCTTTCAAATAAATAAATAAAATCTTAAAAAAAAACCAAAAAACAGTTAAGCAGACTCACAAACTAAAAAGATATAAAATATGACAACATATACATAAAATATGGAAGCAGGAGATAAAAAATAAAGTTTCTTTTAGAATGTGTTTGAACTTAAGTAACCATCAACTTAATACAGACTGCTAAATACTTAGGATGTCATATATGAACCTTATGGCAACCACAAACCTAAAACCTGTAAGAGATACACAAAAAATAAAGAGAAAGAAAGCTAAGCAAAACACTAAAGAAAGTCATCAATCACAAGGAGTGAGAGCATGAGACCAAGAAAGAAATGGAGAAGAACTACAAAAGCAACAAAATGGCAAAAAGAACATATATATCAATAATTAAATGAAATGGTCTAAGAGTTTCAATCAAAAGACACAGGGTGACAGATTGGATTTAAAAAAAAAAAAAAAGACCTATCCAAGTGTAGTTTTTAAGAGACTCACTTCAGTACTAAAGAAACATACAGACTTAAAGTGAAGGGATAGAAAAAGATACTCTATGCAAATTGATGGGGGGGAGCAAACCAGAGTAGCAATAATTAAATCAATAAAAATAGACTTTAAAATAAAGACTAACCACAGACAAATAAGGGCATTACATGATAATAAAGGGATCAATCTAACAAGAGGTTATAATAATTATAAATATCTATGCACCCAACACTGGAGCACCTACTAATACATAAAACAAATATTAATAGATAAAGGGAGAAAGTGACAGTAATACAATCCTGGGAGACATTAATACCCCACTTAGAACAACAGATAGATCATAAAGAATGAAAATAAATAAGGAAACAGTAGTTTTTCAGCCAACATATTAGACCAGAGGGACTTAAAAGATACATACCCCCAAACAACAGATTATCCATTCTTTTTAAGGGAACACATTACATTTTCCAGAACGGATCACATGTGAGGCCACAAAACAAGTCTCACTAAATTTAATAAGATAATTCACAGTAATCTTTTCCAACCACAACATACAAAAACTAGAAATAAATCACAAGAATAAAAGTGTAAGAAACAAATACATAGAGGTTAACAACATGCTGTGAAACTACCAATGGGTCAATGAAGAAATCAAAGAGAAAATAAAAAAAATATATGGAGACAAATGAAAATGAAACACAATGGTTTAAAATCATTGGGGACACAGTGAAAGCAGTTCTAAGAAGGAGATGCGTAGTGAAACAAGCCTACCTCAAGAAACACAAAAAATTTCAAAAAAATAATCTAACCCTACGTGTAAAGAAACCAGAAAAAGAACAGAATAAACCCCAAATTAATAGAAGGAAGAAAATAATAAAGATGAGAGTAGAAATAATTGAAATGGAGACTAAAAACCCCAAAAGAAATAGAATAATGAAACCAAGAGCCAGTTCTTTGAAAAGATAAAAGTGATAAACTTTAGCCTGACTTATCAAGAAAAAAAGGAGGACACAAATAAAAAAATGAAAGAGGGTAAACAACAACTGACACCACAGAAATACAAAAGATCAGAACAGAATACTACAAAGTTACATGCCAGCAAAATGGCCAACCTACAAGAAATACATAAATTTCTAGAAATATATAAACTGTCAAAACTGAATCACAAAGAAATAGAAAATCTGAAGAGACCCATTACTAGTAACGAAATTGAACTGATGATCAAAAAACCCCAACAAACAAAAGTCCAGGACCAGACAGAGTCACAGGTGAATTCTATCAAACATTTAAGCAAGGGTTTAACACCTGTTCTCCTCAAAATATTCCAAAAAATATTCGAAAAAAAAAAGTAAGCTTCCAAATCCATTCTATGAGGCCAGCATTACCCTGATACCAAAACCAGTCAAAAACACTACAAAAAGGGGGTGCCTGGGTGGCTCAGTGGGTTAAAGCTTCTGCCTTCGGCTCAGGTCATGATCTCAGGGTCCTGGGATCGAGCCCCACATCCTGGGCTCTCTGCTCAGCAGGGAGCCTGCTTCTTACTCTCTCTGCCTGCTTCTCGGCCTACTTGTGATCTCTGTCAAATAAATAAATAAAATCTTTAAAAAAAAAAAAAAAACCACTACAAAAAAAGAAAACAGGCCCGTATCAATGATAAACACAGATGCAAAGTTCTCAAAAAATATTGGCAAATTGAATTCAACAATACAGTAGGAGGATCATTTACCACAATTAAGTTTGATTTATTCCTGGGATGCAAGGATGGCTCAGTATTCACAAACCAGTCAATGTGGTACATCTCATTAATAAGAGGAAGGATAAAAACCATATCATCTTAATAGATGCAAAGAAA